CTCTGCGCTGAAGTCGGCTATGAAGTCGGCAAGTACTTGCGACTTGATGGCGTTTCTTGGATGATACGAGATATCGTGCTCACTGAGCTCTATAGCCCATCTGGCGAGTCTGCCTGATAACTCAGGCTTGTGTAGGATACTTCTTAAGGGGAAGGTCGTCACTACTTTTATGGGGTGGCATTGGAAATAGGGTCGAAGCTTCCGTGAAACTACGACCAATGCCAAAGCTAATTTTTCAAGGTGTGGATACCGTGTTTCGGCGTCCACTAAGGTTTTGCTAATATAGTAAATAGGAGATTGTGTACCTTCGTTTTCACAAATTAGGACTGCCCTGACGGCGACCTCGGATACGGCCAAATATACCAGCAGGGGCTCGCCTGGATTTGCTTTGGCCAGCAGTGGCGGCGAAGATAGGTACGCTTTCAATTTTCTTAAGGCCTCGACGCATTCCTCATTCCACTGTAACCCATTGTCCTTTCTCAGCACATTGAAAAACTTATGGCATCTGTCGGAGGACCGTGAGATGAACCTAGACAAGGCGGCTATTCGCGCCGTCAGCTTTTGCACCTGCTTTTTGCTGTTCAGTATCTCGGGTATTGCGTCTATCGCCTTGATCTGATCTAGATTGACTTCGATACCTCGTTGTGATACGAGAAACCCTAAGAATTTTCCTGATGCCACGCCGAAGGCGCATTTCTCGGGGTTCAGTTTCATCCCGTACCTTCTCAATATCTCGAAGGTTTCTTTCAGATGGTCGATGTGGTCCTCTTTTCTTGTCGACTTTACCAGCATGTCGTCGATATAGACTTCCATAGTCTTACCGAGCTGCTCTTTGAACATTTTGGTGACCAGTCTCTGGTACGTAGCCCCTGCATTTTTGAGCCCGAAGGGCATTACCTTGTAGCAGTAAGTCCCTTGGTGGGTGATGAAAGTTGTCTTCTCTTGGTCCTCCTCGGCCATCATGATTTGATTGTAGCCGGAGTAGGCGTCTAGGAAGCTCAGTAGTTCATATCCTGCAGTGGCGTCGATCAGTTGGTCGATGTGGGGTAGTGGGAATGAATCCTTTGGGCATGCTTTGTTCAGATCAGTGAAATCCACACACATTCTCCACTTCCCGTTTTTCTTTTTGACCATGACGACATTGGCAACCCACTGGGGGTATTTTGATTCCCTGATGGAGCCGCTGGCGAGTAACTTGTCTACTTCCGCACTGACCGCTTCGTTGATAGCGGCATTGAATTTTCTCCTCATCTGTCGCACGGGCGGATGTAGTGGATCGACATTCAGCTTGTGGGTAGCGATGTCTCGCGGGATTCCCGGCATATCTGAATGGGCAAAGGCGAACAAATCTGCATGGTTAGTTAAGAAGTCACGATACTTACTTGGGTTGGCGAGACTGTGCCCGATATAGGCTTTCTTCGTAAGATTGGTTTCGTCCAATTGAACTGGGTCGAGATCTTCGACCGTCCATTTACAGGCCTCCACATCGTCGGGGTCTTTGATGGCGTCCGTTGTCGGGTTAACCTTAGTCCCCGACACGGCTAATTGCTATGCCTCCGCACTCGCCCCCTTTAGCTGTTGGGTGTGGGCGCAGTCTTGGGCTATTTTGTAGCACTCTTGTGCGGTGCGTGGCTCGCCTCGAATACTAAATATTCCCCATGGGGTAGGGAATTTGATCACTTGGTAAAGGCTTGAAGGGACCGCTCGCATGGCGTGTATCCACGGGCGTCCTATGATGACGTTGTACGCCGTTACTTGGTTCATCACGTGGAAAGTTGTTTCCAGCGTGACTCCTCCTGCTAAGACGGGCAGTGCTATTTCTTCGGACGTCCGTTCCACTGCATTGTTAAAATCGGCTAGTGTTATGCAGTGCGGTATTACCCTATCCTCGAGTCCCATTTGTACGAGGACCCTTGGGTGGATAATACAGGCGCCACTTCCGTCATCGATCATGATTCTTTTAACATCTGTATCAGCGATATGTAACGTGATAACTAAAGCATCGTAATGAGGGAAAGACAAACCGTCGGCATCAGACTTATCGAAGGTTGTGACGAACTTATCCGCCATTTCCTCGAACGTTGATATTGCCTTAGCTGGTAGATGAGAGTACCATGTTAAAGCCCCTCCTGTCAACGTCTCGCCAAACTTCTTCAGCAGTATCGACGGTACCTGTTCCTTTGATAGGTCGTTGCCCTTCACAGCGGTGACGTAGTGGATCAGATGGTCCTCGGGATCAGTGGTTCCGTCATATACCCTCAAGTAGGGTGGCATCTTGAAGGTTTTTGGGGTGGAGTGAGTGGCAGCTTCTTCAGTGTATGGTTGTTCAACGAACCTTCCCACGTCGCGTTTTGGTAGCAACTTGGGGGCACCGGGGATCTTGTCGACCCTCTCTTGATGTTCCTTCATCTGATTGCGGAGCGCCTTGTTTTCATTTTCCATTTCTTCCATCTTCTTTAGGATGGTTGTTAGAGTGCCATCGTTGGTCTGTGTCTCAACGGGTTTGTTATTTTCTAGTGCAACTTCCGGTTCGCCCACGGCAGCAGTGGTATCTACCGTTGGTGTACACCTAATGTTACTTTGTGGTGACCTCTCAACCAGGCCACTCAGAGTGCTTGTTAGCCATCTTTCTAGTAGCTTCTTGACCGCTGAGGGTGCTTCCATAGCCGCAGATGTGGAAGCTCCCTTTCGTGCAAGATCGTCAGATTTTCGGATGGGGAAGGTGAGATCTCCGCACCCGATGTGATACTAGGGGTTGCATTCAGGATGCCATCGCCACTGGCCTCGTTGAGAGGGCCAAGGAGATTGGTAGTGACATCCAATATAGCTTTTGATCTTGGGTTATTCTCAGCCATCTTTTGTGTTTGTGTGGTTTAGAGAATGGTAGTTGGTTGTTCTCTAGGTGGATACTATGATTTTGATTCTCGAAATCCCCACAGACGGCGTCAAATTGTTTGGCTCAAAAGTTAACAATATACTTTGTAAGCTAGAAAACAATCAAAAGTAAGGAAAGTGTAAATCGTAATCAAATATAATAAACCTAGAGATGCAAAGATGATATTATTGTTGTAGATCTAGTATTGCAAAGTGATAATATGAACTCAATAAGATATGTTCGTTTGAGGTAGAGATAGAGAGAGAAAGCCAGAAAATGAGAGAATTGTATTAGATCTGAATCCCTCTTTTACAATGTGAAGGTCTCTTTTATATAATAAGAGACCTTCCTCGAAAGAATCAAAAAGTTACAAAGACAGGTAACGTCTCCCTAGTGAAGACACTGAGTCCTAAACGATGTCGCTTTTGTCCCCGCGTCCGAGTTGTACCCGCTACGTTAGTCGGCATACACTCACTGGGCGTACCCTCTGGCGTAAAGATGCTGACGGTCAAATTTGACCCCATACACTATGAGAGAAATGGAGGTGTAATTAAATCGATTTGAAAAGTGAGTTGGAATTCATTATTATACCACATGAACGGAAAACATAGGAATCTGATAAAAAGAAACGGTTATCTATAATTAGGTGTTAATAATTGAAGCAAAACCGTCAGTAACTGTTTAGTTGCACGTTTCATATAGACGTCTCATGGACATTTAATAAAGCTTTTTATTTATACAATTGAATGGAAAAAAATGTGAAACAACCAAAAAATAGAAAATGTGCCTCTACCCCTTCGATTCCCTTGTACGTTGAAATGGAACTATTAATTGCTGCATTAAAATTTCATAATCTTAATGTGAATTAAAACAGAATAGTTAACGTCAAATTACAATTTTGTGTTTTTATTATGCAGAATATTATTTAGTTTTCAAGGGCAAAATAGTTCATTAATTTTATGTGGGCATTTTAGTAATTCAAGTTTGACACTTTTAGCTTCCCACTTTTAGTATAATATGATATGATGATATATGATAATATGATATGATATGATATACAGTAAAATCCATGCATTGTTGAATTAAAAAGGAGCGCATATCGTCAAATAATTTAAACTGCGCATACCGTACTAGGCGGTTAGACAGTTGTACCAAGAATATTCTTTACTGTAAATAGAAATATACCTTATTTAGGGTTCCTCTATTATATAAAGGGGACCCCAATCATTATAACATCATCTCATCATTGGCAAAGAATATACTATCCTACTTTTCTCTTATTGTTCATCAGAATTATTCTTTACTGTCCTTTATGTTTATTGTCCATCTCGAGGTCACTAAGCTCGAGGTCACCACTGCTGAATAACATTGGTTTGATTCACTTATTCCTTTCATTTCTACTTCATATTTCTTGAATACTAATTGATATTGAATTTAATCACATATCTTTAAAACCACAAATCAAATTTAATTATTACTCGTATTTTCGAGGTAAATACTCTTTTTGGAAACAGATCAAAAATGAAATAGTGTAGTTATAAGAAAAGAATAAAGGGGTATATGGAACTCAAAGGCATGGTCAGGCAAGCTTGTTCCAAGACAAATATTTATATATATTTGAAAGAATTTCTACTCCCTAGCTTTCCCATTCTCTTTTATTTTATGTTTTATTTTAAAATTGTTACTTGTAAGGTTGCACAAGAAATGAACAAGGAAGTACCTGGATCTAACATGCCGCAAACTAATTTCAGAAATCAAGAAGTCTATAAAAGGTACTCTCTCCGGTCAAAAATAATTGATTTTTTGGATGTTTTCACACAAATTAAGAAATCCATCTTTTAGCATTAATTAGCAATGAAATTGATCATATTAACATTTACTATCTCATATAAATACTCCTAACACATACTCCAACACTATTTACTCCAAGGACAATGTAGGAAAAAAATAATTAATTCATTTTTGAAATCTGAAAAAATCACTTATTTTGGATCACAAAAAAAAAAGCTAAAAAATCACTTATTTTGGACCGGAGGGAGTAATAAACTGTAAGCAAATTGAAAGCTTGCATGCAAGTTTCTACATCGATCAAGATATAATCATTGGATTAAATTACCAGTATCAATAACCACTTAACTAGTTTTGGGAATTCCATATAATCTGGCTCAAGTATTGAACACAACTTCAAATTCATTAATAGAATCCAAGCCAATAGTAAATAACTAAGCGAGACTTCCACCGCTCAAAGCCGGCATAGCAATAATTTCATCTCCATCCCTCATCTCTAGCTGTTAATAAGAAAAAGAAACGGTAATTATTATACAAAAACTTTATGTGTATACCGATAAATTCAGAATTTAAAATGTATGGGTTCTTAATTCTTATAAGGACCTGAAATATATCAGTTCTTAATTCTTATAAGAATATATATATATATATATGGGGTTCCATTAAAATTTATTAGGCTCACGTGAACTGATAGTTAATACTGCAAATTTACCATGGCTTGGTGATTCGCTTTTAAGGGGTGAGAAAGCATAACTACTTACATTAAACGAATGAATACATTACTGAAAACATGTCAAAGCCTCGATTTTAGCTCTTGTATGGATAATTGTGAGGTTAGGGACTTGGGTTATGTTGGACCAAAATTCACTTTGGTGTAACAATTGGGATCCTAGAAGAAGGATTTGGAAGAGACTAGACATAATTTTTGCAAATGATCTCTGGTGCCAACTCCTTCAAAATAACACTGCCGGACATTTACCAAGAACTAGTTCCGACGATAGACCTTTGCTCTTTAGTTGTCATAACAGAAACAATAATGGCATAAAGTACTTCAGATTCCTTAACTTTTGGACTGAGCAACCTACTTTTATGAAACTGGTTGAAGAAGTGTGGGCTACTAATATATGTGGGAATGCTTGTGGAAGCTACGACAGAAACTAAAGATGCTCAACAAAAGACTCACTCAATGGTCTAAAGAAGAAATTGGCAATGTATTTGAACATGTTCAACTGTGGGAAGTGAAAATGCATGATCTAGAGGAGTTAGACTTGAACAACAACACTGATTTCTCTAGAGAAGAACTGAACAAAGGGCAAGCAGAATAAATTATATGGATGGCCATGCAAAATGCTATACTGAAACGTAAAGCAAATACCAAGTGGTTTGAAGAAGGTGATTCCAACACCAAGTACTTTCACAGCTTAATCAGGGAAAGAAGGAGAAAACTCCAACTTCACAGGATCAAATATCATAGAAATAGATGGGTGGAGGGTGATGATAACATAGCAACAACTGACATTCACCACTTCGAAAAGAGATTCAACATACAAGATCAGCTCAAAGATAGAGACATTCTTGATTGCATTTCTCAAAGGATCACTGATGAGGATAATAGATCCCTCACTACTATATACAGAAGAAATCAGAGATGCGGTCTTTGATATGGGAGCTACAAGTGCAGCAAGACCAGATGGTTTCAATGGTACTTTTTTCCATAAGTGCTGGGATATTATCAAAATTGATATTACTGATTTTGTTCAAGAGGTTTTCAATGGGAAGAGACTTACCAAATTCTTCTCACATACCTGTCTTGTCCTGATTCCTAAAGTAGAGTCTCCTACCAGCTTCTCCAAGCTTAGACCTATCAGTCTAAGCAACTTCACTAGCAAAATCTTTTCCAAAATTCTGTGAAGAAGGCTTAACCCTATGCTTCACAAGCTCATTTCAGAGAATCAAAGTGATATTGTCAAAGGAAGGTTTATTGCTGAAAACATTCTTCTTGCGCAAGAGATACTCAGAATATCAACCATAGGAATTCTGGTGGTAACATTATCATCAAACAAGATATGGAGTAAGCCTAAGACAGAATGTCATGAAAATTTCTCATGTCTGTAATGAGGAAATTTGGATTCTCCGAGGAATGGATTGACATCATTTGGGTCTTGATCAACGATGTGTGATATTCTATTATTATCAATGGTGCTAGGAAAGGTTTCTTTACATCTTCCCATGGTCTTAAGCGCGGGGATCCTCTTTCCCCTTCCTTGTTCATCATTGGTTCTGAAGTATTATCCAGATCTTTGAATAAGTTATTTGAGCATGACAACTTCACTCCATTTAGCATGAATAAAAGAGGACCCAACATCAACCGCTTAGCCTATGAAGATGACATTGTCATCTTCTATGGAGGAAACAATCATTCTATCAAGCTTATTAAGAATCATATCTAGAGGTATGAAAGGTCTTCTGTGCAAAAAGTCAACAACAACAAGAGTTATTCCATTACTTCTCAAACACCTCTGCTTCCAGGATCAATAGAATTAGACAAGCATCTGGTTTCATAGATAAAAATTTTCCTTTCACTCACCTCGGCTACCCTATCTACCATGGGAGGAAGAACACTAGTTTGTTTGATAGCATTTTAGCTAAATTTTCAAAAGGCTCAACGGATGGCAAGGCAAGATTCTATCTCCCAGTGGAAAAATCACTCTTATCAAGCATGTTCTACAGTCTCTTTCCACATATATTCTTTCGGCTATGAAACCCCCTTCCCCCCATCCCCCAAAGGTACTGTTAACCTTATGGAAAAGCACTTTTGCTAATTTTTTCTAGGAATTTACGGATGGTAAGAATAAGTACCATTGGAGTTCTTGGCACAGCATTGCTTTCCCAAAGATGAAGGTGGCATTGGTATAAGGAAGATATAAGATGTGATTGAAACATTTAGTATCAAAAGATGGTGGAGATTTAGAATGCAACAATCTTTATGGGCCACCTTCCTCAAAGCCAAATATTGTAAGAGATATCATCATGTGAGTAAAATTATTAACTCGTCAGATTCTCATAGCTGGAAAAACCTATTGAAGACCAAGAGCAAAGCATAAATGCACATTAACTGGAGGATTCAACATGGTTCCTCCAGTTTCTGGTGGGATAACTCGATTGGAAAAGGACCACTAGCATATCTATCTCAAGGAACTAGGAAGTCTACAAAAAGTCAAGTAAATAGTTTCTTTCACAGTGGGCAATGGGACAACAACTTAAACCAGGTTCTACCTTCACATATTTACTGATTACATTATAAATATTGGTATAGGTAATTGTATGGAGGATGACTTCCCTGTTTGGAATATATCTGGTGATGGTCTTTTTTCTAACAAATCTGCTTGGCATCTAATTAGATCAAAAAAGCAAAATTATAATTTCTTAAGGAAGGTTTGGCATCACTCTATTCCCTTTAAAATGTCTTTCCTAACTTAGAGATTATTTAAAAGAAAATTTCATTTTAATGACATGATTGGTAGGTTTGGTACTAACATTACTTCTAGATGCTCTTGCTGTAGTGTTCCACAAGCAGAGACTATGCAACATGTGTTCATGGAAAGTGAAGCAACGATGTTTATATGGAATGCAATTGGCAACCCGCTGGGAATTAGGCGCCAACAGGCCCCTGTTTCTGCAATCTTCAAAAGGTGGTGGGAAAAAAAATCAAATAATAGAGTCCATGGCTTGATTCTCCAAGTCGCACCAATTGTCATATACTGGGAAGTTTGAAAACAGAGAAGCTCTTGTAGATATGGCACGCAGAAGAAGTTTCAACTCAACTTCATGAAATTTCAAGTAATATGGACTATCAAGTCCATTATTTCTAAGTTAATGCCTAATGTGTTAGCCCCAAGGTTTCACGTATTGATTTTGATGATACAAAACCAACATAAGTTTTAATCAAAGAATATTTAGTTGTGTGAATTATTTTTGCCAGGTTAAATGGAGAAGGATTTGATTGGATTATTAATTCAACTACATAAATCAAGAGTCAAGAATTAAGGGCAAAATGAGATATTCATTAAGCCAAGGAAGGAAGCTTAAGCACGGGATGAAGAAGATTCAATACAAAAGGTTCTTACTTACAACAATCAAGGAAAATATTGAAGAGGTCCAAGGCTGATTTTTTACTCAAGAAAGGAGACTATATATATATATATATATATATATATATATATTGAGATCTATTCAAAAGGAAATTATTTGCATAGTTACGAAAATAATAAATGGTCATTGAGATCTTCATATTGGAAACAAAAGACAAGATCCAAGGTAAAGGAAGAGGATCTTGAAATTCTCTTGGGTTACCTAAATAAGAGCTTATATTTTATTTATATAAGCCAAAAGAAGAGGTCAAAGAAATTACTGGAAAGAATATTAGTTATTCTGGAACAAAGATTTATTGAGATACTACAAGAGTTATTATGCAAAATAAATTATTTCCCAAGATTTTTATATATAAGGAAGTCTAGGAGCATAATTGTCATAATTCTTATGGATGGAAAGGAAATCAATTTCACGAAGCATTCCTTGAAAGTATTAAGAAGTTCTCTTCAATAGGAAATGTGATTACCTATTGAAAGTGCAATGGTCAAGAAAGAAAGAAATAATTCAAGGAAATTCAATAGGCAAGAATCTTCGTTCAGGGCAAGACAATCAAGACTCCCCACGTTAAGGCAAGACTAATAGAATCTGATCATGAAGACAAGGAACTACTATCAAGTAGCAAAAGAATATCAAGAAGGATATACTTCTCAATTGAAGACACAGAGGCAATGACTTAAAGGAATCATATGATTCAATATCTTAAGATCCTCAAATCATGTGAGCTGGAAGGCACGATTCCATTTCTCAAATTAGATAGCTAGGCACAAACGAGAATGGAAACATATTATTTCAGTAAGGACCACCCCAACGATCAAATGATTTATTTTGAAGCACACGAAAGACTATATAAGCAGCAACACTGACCGGAAGAAAGGCACCAGCTTCGCAGACAACTTTCCTACTCTTTTTACACCTTAGTCAACCACTGTATTCTTAAGTTTACTAGTGTCATAAAAGATAGAGAGAAAGGAAAAAATACTGAGAGGTTGTGTCATTGTTCGTTTCTTTGGTGAGCGAGTGAAAACCAAAGTGTCGTTGTTGGTGATCGAGTGAAAACCAACTCTTTGTTCGTTGTTGGTGAGCGAGTGAAAACCAACCTTGTAAACGTTAGTGGTGATCGCTGAATTTACAAAGAGATCTAAAAGACAACACTCTTGCAACCAAGAGGACTAGATTAGGATACCACATTGGTTCCGAACCAGTATAAAAGTTTCTGGTGTTATTTACTCTATCGCTCTCATATTATATTCTATTCCTTTACTATTTATTGTGATTAACACTTGTTTAAATTGAAAGGACTAACAGTTCTGCGTAGGCTGTCTCAACATCAGTCGACTAAGTCTATACCACAGTCGACCAAATTTTTAACAAGCGTACAATTCACCCCTCCTCTCTTGTACTTTCAATGGAAAATAAAAAATACATTGAGTAAACTCGCCTCTACTACCAATCAAGGTGTGATCTGTCACTCATTGTGCCATCTCCCCAAAGAAGCTAAAGGCACTTTTATTCTAGATAATTGTCAAATGCCTAGTATTAGAACAAAATACGATAAATGCAACTTTTTTGTTAGTTGATTATGTATATATTGCACTGTCAGTAGGAAGGACTTTTAGTACATTCCTCCTACTGTTTTTTGGGTGATAGAAATCACCATGTTGTATAACGTTTTTAAGGTCAGGTTTAGCCCCCTCACTGCACCTTTTTGGAATACAACACTTCCCAGACCTCTGTCTGGGGTACTTTATGAAAAAAAAACTTCTGGCATATAACAACAGCAATACTTGATTCACATTTTAAATGCCTTATATGCAAACATTTAAAGGCATCCGAGCTAACTTATCAGTTGTGCAAATATTAGAATCCTTAACCATTTTCCTTTTACTTTAATAGTCTAAATAAATGAAGCTGGAATAGTTTACGTCATTAAAATATTCTCAGTTATAAATCTAGTGAAAAATGGATATAAGAGTCATGGATTAATGAATTTTATTATCAAAAATTGAGTTTTAATATGACATGACATGTTAAATTTGTGATATTTATTTTTTGAGTCAAATGATAATAGTTGGATGATTTTGTTGTCCTAAAAAAAGAATAATGACATTGGTGAGATATCTTCATAACTTGGGTGACCATTTAAGAAATTTACTCCTAAATCTTAGGGTGGAGAGAGAGAAAGAGAGAGAGAGAGTGAGTGTGGAAGAGACAAACCTCTTTTGGAGTTTGTTTGCCTCTAATTCTCCTGCCTTCAAATAAGAATACAGTTTGCTCTATATCCATAGATTTTTTGTCGCAATAAACCATCATAAGTTTCTTCAGAAGTGTAGTTCCCTGAAGTTTGAAAAGTACCTCACTTCCATCCTACAAAAAGGATAAACTTTAGACCCAGAGTCTTAATTACCTTCTTTAATTACAAAGTAATTAAGTGATTTGAGTGTGTAAATATCTCTTATATCATCCACGCATAGAACTTACTCTTCAATTATAAGTATATAATCAGTGATAAAGAAGAAGTAAACCTAATTTCATCTATATATCTAAGTAATGATGAAGAAGTAAATCTAATTTCTCTTAATCAAGATAAATAATGCTATTGAAGTGGTACTCGACTCTTCTACGTATTGTTAATTATAAAGCTATAGATATTTATTACAAAGTACTACAATTTTAGAAAGTCCATACAAGTTACTTATTCGGTTATAGTTGTAGTAGTATTTTTTTCAAGTAGTATAGCGCACATAATATTGAGAGGTAGGAAAAAAAAAACATAGTATGTGGGAGAAAAAGAAAAAAAAACACCTAGTTACGTTCAAATTCCTCTAGTATAAAATTACAAGTAAACTCTTTAGCCGTGTAAAGACAAAAATCGGTAAGAAGCAAACAGTGCATCTTAATTATGCTGCGACAAGCAGTAATAATAAAGTGCTAGAGTAGATATATTTGTTAATGATCCACATTTGCAGAGTAGAAAACTTGATTATAATGCCAAGACTTCCCTTTTGAATTGAAATTTTTATGGTTAATTACATGCGTATACTTTAGCCTTAATTCAGAAATATAAACAGTTATCTAGAGCTCATAATAGTTTTATGGTCCATCTCAGGAAGTGAACCAAGAAATTTCTTCTGAGGGTAATATATTGTAATACTCCCTCCGTTTCAAATTAAATGAGATAGTTTGACTCGGCACAGAGTTTAAGGAAAAAGAGAAAGACTTTTGAAATTTATGGTCTTAAAAGCTTAAGGGGTAAAGTTTTGTGGGGCCATGACTTTTGTGTGGTTATAAAAGCTTCTCATTAAGGGTAAAATGAGGAGTTTAAAGTTGAATTATTTCCAAATTTAGAAATGTGTCATTTATTTTGGAACAGACTAAAATGGAAAGTACCACATTTAATATGAAACGGAGTGAGTAAGTAAAAATACAGTGATATATCTACACAGTTAATTAACTTAATTCTGATGAATCATTAACATTTGTCAATTTCTACCAAAGCTATGGTATAATTTGTGATGGTATGACCATTGGCAAGGCAAGTCTTGTCCAACTTGTTACGATTCGCCAAGACTTTTAAACTGTTTGTTTCAAAGTTATGACACGATTTATAGTAAGAGATTCAAAGGTCCTTTAGGTTTTGTGCCGAGGTAAATTTCTGCATCCATTAGAACTTGTGACGATCCATCAGGACATGAAAATAATTTGTTCCAAAGTTAGGACACACTTTATAGTAAAGTCCTTATGTCTAAAGGACTTCTGGCAAGACAAGTTTGTTTATCCAACAGAACTTGTGACGATCCATTAGGACTTGCGGCCAGGTTCTGACCCATAAATTATCTTTTTGAAATTTTATCGGAATGATTCAAAACTTAAATAGTAACACAAAATCAACCTATTTATGCAAAATCACTCTCAGTTAACAGCTATCCTCTTACTAAAATATATACCTGATTTTTTCTGATAAGTGTTTAATTTATTTGGATCTCCGACCATGGTTAGTACTAGTGGGATTTATGTAAAGAGAGAATGTTTGCTTCCAATGTTTGCATCTTGTCTTTTATTTCTCGGAAGCCATTGAAAGGGATCGTTTATCGCTCTGAAACTTAGATGAAGGTCAAAGGTTGAAATGTGAGTCTTGCTCACTCTTGAGAGTTATATTTACAAGTGAAAATTTCAGCATATTTGTACATAATACAAGAATAAATTCAAATAAATCTTCTTACTACTGATGTACAGAAAGATGCCTCTAACATATTAATATAAATATACAATAAAACCCATGCATTATTGAATTAGAAATGATCGCATATCGTCAAATAATATAAATTTTGGTTTACCAAATATATGTGGACTCCTTTGAGGATGTCTGAATGTTGAGGCCGCAGTGGCGGAGCCTTGTATTTAAAATATAAATAGGTAAATAATCAAAGAAGATATATATATATATATATTCCTACGAACAAAATGAGGGGGAACAAAGTGAATGAAACTGGCTAACTAAAAATAGCATGTTCTTTTCAAGAAAAAGCTTATGTCATGATCTTAAAATCTACGCCAGCGAATACTACTACGTTTATGTTATTAGGAACGTTCTGAAAATTTCTAAAACGAAACCCGGTGTGAAGACCCGATAGGTTATTTTGAGATTTAGGCTCTATTTTTGTGTTCCGAGACCTCGATACGCAGTCCGTATCTTGTTCCGAAAAGTTTTTATGTCAAAAATTTCAAGAAAATATGAATTTTTTCCTTAAAAATGATTTGAGTTGACTACGGTAAATATATTGTATAAAAGGACCCCGATCAGTATTTTGACGCTTCCGGTGGGTCCGTATCGTGATTTGGGACTTGAGCGTATGCCCGAAATCGAATTCGGAACTCCCTAACTTGTTCTGACTCATTTTGTCGAAAACTAGCATTTTTGAAAGTTTAAGAATTACAAGGTTTGACCGAAAGATAACTTCTATGCTAACGGGTTCGGACTTTGATGTTGAAACTTGGAATAGTTCCATATTGCTATTTGAAACTTGTCTACAAAATTTGGTTCAATCCAGAATTGATTTGACGTGATTCGGACGTCTGATTGTAAATTTGAAAGTTCTAAAGTTTCACTGAAAGTTTCATACATTTTGAAGTCTGATTCGTAGTTCTAGGTGTTATTTTTGTGTTTTGATCGCGCGAGCAAGTTCGTATGATGTTATTACACTTGTGTACATGTTTGGTTTGGAGCCTGAAGGGCTCGAATAAGTTTCGGACAAGTTTCAGAAGAGTTTTGCTAATGAAAAGTCTGCTGGTGCAATACCAGTTCTGGTGCTCTGTTGCAGATCTCGCAATTGCGAGCCTTGCTTTTGCGAAGAATTATTCACATTTGCGAGCATGGGCTAGGCTACGTGAATCTCGCATTTGTGAACTATGAACCTTCGCTTTTGCGAAGGAAGTGGTCGCAATTGTGATCACTAGCCACTTGAGCCTGCTTCGCAATTGTGAAGCTTCTGATCGCATTTGCGATGGTGGTACATTCGCATTTGCGATCATATTGTCGCATTTGCGACTTCTACTCTTCTGTGACAGGGTTCGCATTTGCGACCCTTGTCTCACTTTTGCAATGTTCGCAATTGCGACATCCGCAATTAGGGAAAAGAGGAGAAAAACGGGACTTAGCTCATTTCTCATAATTTCTCAACCCTAAATACCCTAGAGGCGATTTTTCAAGAGACTTTTCTTCCTAAATTCATTGGTAAGTGACTTTGATCCATTTCTTTTCAATTACCCATTACATTTCATAAGATTTCAACATCAAATTTAGGATTTTCATAGCAGAAATTAGGAATTTCTGTAGAATTGGGGATTTTTGTAAAATTGAGATGTAGACCTCGAATTGAGGTCGGATTTCGTAACAAATCACATAACAGGCTCGGGGACGAATAGGTAATCAAGTTTTGGTCCGAATCTTGAGTTTTGACCGAGCGGGCCCAGGATTGACTTTTGTTGTCTTTTTTCTAAAATCATTAGACCATCTCCAACCCTAACACCAAATTTCACACCAAAATGGTGTAACACCAAATTCTCCAACCATTACACCATTTTTTTACACCAAAAAAGAATATTTCTTCTCTCTCTTCTATATTATAGTTTAAGCTTTTAATGCTCAATATGCCAATATTATGGATAGTAGCCAGGAGCAGTGTTCATTAGAGATGGAAATTGAGGTGCCAATGGAGGGTTAAAGTAGAACCCCAACACTCTAACCAGCTAGAATTTGAGGATGCCGATGTTGAAGAAGTAATACTAGAGTCAACCAAGAACGTTGAAGATACAAATTTAGTTGACTCTAGTGTGATTGGTGTTGATGAGGTTAAAAATCTTGAAGTTCATGTATTTGTGCGCGTTGGACCTCATTCCAAACACTTCTCTACATTATGTTCAGATGGTGAAATGGAAACTAAGCCGTATGAGGCAATGCAAGAGTCAAAGGAAGAGGTAGATGAGCCCTATATTCTGAAATTTTCAAGGCCGTCTAGGCAAAGTGACATTCCTCGGTTGGAAGCCAAAAAGTTGATAAAGTATCATTTAATTTTTGGCTCGCAACAATTTGTATCGCATCAGGAGCATGATCATAGAGCAGAATCAAAACTTGGGGTCCAATTCATAAGTTCAAAGAGGAGGCAGAAAGTGATTCGCGTCGTGCCGCGACGTTAAATCAAGCGCTTGTTGGGAGGCAACCCAGCTTTACTGCTTTCTTTTATTTATTCTTTTGTATTACTTTTGTAGTGTCGGTTTTTGATTTTCTAGGAGCATGTAAAGTAAAGCTATTGGAAGGATGCAACAGCAAACCAAGTGGTTGGAACTAAGTGTGAGGTACCCGCACGAAAGACTAAGCTTGGGAGAAGTCTCAGTAACCCATGAGCTGCTAGTGCTTCGGCCTTTGGCCTACCAGGGAGTTTCTCTTACCCTCTTATTAGTATGGTGTGCATTTGGGACAATGCACAAATTTATGTGTGGGGTGAGGAGATTGTCTGGGTGACTTTCTATGCTATTTCAGCTGTGTTAGTTTAATTGAATAATGCTTTTGTTTTAAAAAAAGATTGGACTTTTCCCGACGATGGATATCCTAGACAATTTTCTTGAGGGATTTAAGTCTAAAAAAAATGATTTCTTTGTAGGTAGTGCAGTAATTCCCCCTTGATTTTTTCTTTGTGCCGCGGTTCTTTTCCAAGGGTTTTGTTTGAACCGGGTGTAGTTAGTTTTATTTTTTTAGGAGTACGAGCCAGTGTGAGATGAATTGAATTGAAGCAATATCTCTTGACTTTGTTATGCCTTGAGAATAGCGAGTACTTTGGTTGTGACGCTTAGGCTCAGTTTTTGACTCTAGTATAAGCACCTTAAATCGTAAATTTTTAAATTTGCTTAACTGCTTTGACTGGAGTGTCTTGATGAGTGCAATCCTGAGTGAGTTATGTGTCATGTGTGTGTAAGGATTTGTGTTATTCTGTGCATTGCATTTGATGCTAGAACTTGCCCCGTGTGTTTGCAAAGCGAAATAGTAGTTTTGTTTAGTCTTGGAAGTGATATAGGCGTTTCTTTGTTGAGCCAGATATGTATAATTTACCCGCCTAATTGTTAACCCCTTTGAGCCTGTAATCCTGTTTCTTTGGCAACCACATGACAAGCCTTACCCATTTGTTAGAATTAACCATCTATTGAACCTTTTCACCTCTCATGAGCACTTGAATTGTAATGAACTTTGTAAAAGTCAAAGTATGGGGTGGTTGGTTTGGCTTTTGAGTGGAGCTAATAAAATAAGGAGAAAGGTGCACTGTGTTGACAAAAAATATAAGAGCCACTTGAATTGGAAAAAAATAAAGAAAAAAAAAATAGTTGTATTGTTGTGAAAAAAAAATATTCCTTGCTAAGTGGTGACTCTTGATGTAATTGTGCTTAAAGAAGTATGAGCTAATATATATTGATGTGAAGATGGAGTTATGGTTTGACATAAGTGTGGGATTTTAAATGTTAAAGTGTATGTATTAAAGTGCTTAGGGAGGTGTAGTCACTCTTATATCTAAATGTATCCTACTTGTCCTGCAGCCTACATTACAACCAAATAAAGTCCTACTTGATCCTAGACTGAAAGAGCTCGATTAGTAGAGTAGTACACTACGGGCAAGCCTATCGTGCATCTTTTGTGGCATATGAATGACGTTTCTGAGAGTGAGTGAATTCTTTCTATCTTGAGTTCCTAATTGTTCTTAACTTTTATATTGTGTGGAACTACTCTCTTTATTGTGTGAAGGCACTTGATTCATGAAGGAAAGGTAATGTCAGTGACCTCTATGTTAGAGTAAGTGGGTGAGTTGTGAATAATGCGTGGTACTTGTAAGTCAAATCTTGAGGTGAAGATGTTACGCTTTTGTGCTTAGTCTATTTTAAATATTCTTGGTGTGATGAGTTAGGAGAATTGTTTAAAAAGGTCGTGTCTATATAAAGTGTAGTTTGATTGCTCGAGGACAAGCAATGGTTTAAGTGTGGGGTGTTGATGATAGGCTATAATTACGTAATTTAGTCGCTTATTACACTCTAAATTACTGCACTTTAATTGAGTTTGAGCTTTAATCGCTAGTGTTTTGCACTAAATTGTGTATTTTATGCCTTGTAGGAGTGATTCCGAGCTATGTAGATATTATGGAATGAATTCAAGTGATTTGGAGCTTTGAAGTCTGAGTAAAAGCCCAAGGAATCAAGTTGGGATCGTGTTTGGGGATCAACGGATGATAGTCAAGAACGAAACGGAGAATCGAGCGGGCATACGGTGCATTGTCTAGTAAAATGCACATAACTTTTCGCTCAGAACTCCGTTTGGGCTCCATAATATATAGTTGGAAATCTATTTGAAAGGGCTATAACTTTCGTGTTTTGCATTTTCGCGAATCCCCACTACCGCGGCGTGTGAAGCGGCGCAGGCCGCGCCACGCCTGTGGAAAATTCCTGCAGCCTGTCAGAATCAGCTCTCTGAACATCCCTACAAGCACACCGCATGGCGCGTCGCCCCATGCGGCGCGGTAGTGCAAATTTTACAGAGTGATTGTCTTATTTTGCGCAGGAAAAGATGTTTCGTCTGGGCCCGACCCTATTTGGTATAAATACATGTAAAAACGCTATTTTGAGGAGGGCGGATATACTTTTGACACAGTTTAGACCTAGGGAGAGCACGGAGCCACAGTGGAGACCGAGATTCGACCTAAGGAGGCAAGAACACACTAGGAACAAGGCAGAGAATTCTTCTACGAGTTTTCGCTTCCTTCTTCCTATTTTCATTATTGGTTATGAATTCTAGTATTGTAGTATGCATACTATTATGAATAGCTAGTTTGTTATCTAGGGTTTTGATGGAACCTATTGGAGGATGATTTTTCTATTACGTTAACATAGATTTGTTGTAGCTTTTTCTTTATTTATTCAACTACGTTATTATTGTGGTTGGTTGAAGAGCTCTCAATCGACTGTGCTTATTTAGTGTGTATTACTCGGGAGAGAGTGCATATTTAGGTAGTTGTTGAACAACATCACTCCTAACGTATATGAGGGATCAATACGGAGAGTTTAAAGGTGGAATTAGGAATAACGAAACCTTGGGTGCGATCCGAGTGAGCTGTACTTAATGCCAGCTAGCGTAATTCGGGAGAATATGTCTAGCAAATTGTGGTAATTACTCGGGAGAGAGTTACGACAGTCAGAGCGCTCATGATCGGTAGAAAATACTTAGGCGAATTTATAGAAAATGTAGCGGGAAGGAATCTGACAATAGGGGAAATCATAACTCTAGACCTCCTTAATCTTTTCTCCAACCCTTAGTATCCCTAGTTTTTAATTTACTTCTTTAATTATTTAGTTAATTAGATATAAGAATCTTAATATTTATAATTTAGAATTATTTGAGCTTATCTTCTTAGTGATATTGAACAATTGTAGCTAAGCCTTAGTTCTCTGTGGGATTTGACTCCGGACTTGTAAACCGAATTATATTTGCAACAACTGCTTAATCCTTTTTTATAAGGCATAGTTGGGCGTGATCAGTTATGTTTAGACTCTGACTCCCTATTCAATTTCATCATACTATATATGTTTCAGACTTATATCATTTTTCATTGTTATTGTCTTGTCATAACTTGTTTAAATCAGTAAATTCTCTGTTCACATCGGCTTGCCTAGCAAGTAGATGTTAGGCGCTATTATGATCTCGAGGTTGGATTCCGGGTCCTGACACCCAAGAGGCTCTAGCTCTCATATATAACATAAAGGACCTGCGTGTTTTGCAGTAGTAGACAAACAAAAAATACGAAAAAATATCACGTTAAGTGTTAGAATTGAAGGAATGCACAGTGGAAACCTATATCCCTACATAGGAGCTCGACGAACCTTTCAAAAGCATTGTTGTGTTCGAGAGCACTAAGGAGAAGCAAAGACTTCCAATAATTTGGTTCCTATTTGATTGCACTTAATGAAGAGTAGAATTTGAATTATACATCATTAATTAAGTGCATTTTTAGTTATTTATTCATAATAACCTATAAGCTTTTAATAGATCTACAATGTTTTGATATCATTAAAACATTCGCCTAAATTTATAATTATTCTATTTATTACCACCGCCAACCACCATCGCCCCAATAAAGAATAGAACATTGGTGAGGAATGGCCAATGCCACGCCCCTCCACCTTCTATATACACCAGAACGTACCATATAGATGTACCCTAAACAAAGATGATTTAGAGTGTGCGCACTCCTGATCAAATTTGCCCAAAAAAATAAATAAAACAAAGATGTCCGAGAACCTCATTTCGGATTTGTTGCTACGGAATGAATCTAGTAAAGCATAGACACGAGTTAAGGAAACCCATGATTCAGATTCACTACGTGTAGTTCATGACTAAAATGGAGAATTTCCTACTTTTAAGACATTCGAATAGAACAGTGCAGAAAATCACCAGCAGCAAACCACAACAATCAAACACAAGAGGATCAACAAACAAAGGAAGATCAACACACACACACACACACACACACAAAGGGGATTGATCAAAAAGTAACGAAAGGTAAATAATATATAAGGGAGAAAAGCGAAACACCTGTGGCGTCGTCACATGAACAACAATGTAATTAGGTGACTCCTCAACGGGCTTTTTCTCCTCTTGAGTGCTTTTTGACATTTTTCCTTTCTTCTTCTCCTGATCTTGAGTCACTGCAGATGTTTTTCTTTTCTTGTCCTCCTTTTTAGTGGCGACAGGCAAATTCTTCTCTTGAGTTACCAGCGACATTCTTCCTCTCTTTCTAATTCAATTCTCTCCAATTTGTCACGTTAATTAGATCAGAGACATTTTGTTGTAGTGAACTCCCTCTTATACTCTTAAGATTTTAGGGGTCAAATGTGCTTTTAATATTGTAATCCGGCGGAAGATTTTATTACTGTGTGGATATGACCTGTAATTAATAAGCTTGCTAAATCCAGAGATGATGTGATGATTTTTTGTCCATAAAAACCAGGATCATTTATCTTATTTCCCTTTCTAGCCGTGCTTATCATGTATTTGAAATTTTGGTTAATAAGAACAACAAAGAAATTGGTCGGGGCTTTTTATTTAAATAGACATATTTAATCAGTAACGAGAGGAACGTGCACATATATATATCCCTCTCTGCCAGTATATATATATCAGTTACGATGACTAGTGAAATTCATGTGCCAAACACAAGTCCAAGAGTTTAGCACTAGTTGTGGTGTCCAGAAGTGCTGAACATCTCTTGCATTGTGATTACTTAGATGATCTATACAAGTGCTTATCTAGATTAACATATTTTTTGCATACTTCATATTCAAACAAGAAGACAATTTATAACTTGTACTTAAAAGATATCGTTAATTAATCTTAAACACGTTGAAGGTTCTTTGCGCACTCATATTGTCACGACCCAAAATCCGCCTAGTCGTGATGGCACCTAAACTGATCCGCTAGGCAAGCCAAATACAGTCAACACAAATCTACTAGAATTAATATGAAGCCAACAAGTGAATAACTAAATTTTTTTTATAACTTCCCAAGGACTTGTAGTACAGGACATGAGCTTCTAAGACTTAGATTTACAAGCTGATATGAAAATGATACAACATTTGTTTGAAGTATATATAAACAGAAATTAAGTCCTAGACTACCATGAACAAAAGGTAGCTTGAATCTGGAACAATGGAACGTCTTCAGTGCCAGGCTTCATCTTCCACTAGCTACACAGCTCCAAGATCTGCACGCAAGGTGCAGAAGTGTGCATGAGTACAACCGACCCCATATACTCAATAAGTATCTTGACTAACCTCGGTGAAGTAGTGGCGAGGTTTAAGTTAAAAGATACTCACACAATATAGTACCTGTGCAGATAATAAGCAGAAAGAGCAATACGAGAAGGAGATACAAATAATCACGTAGTAAATAAAGCGAAAATACAAATAACAGAGGGCCCCAAAATACCGTCACGTCTCAGTCTCACAACACATTATGATAACTGAAAACAAGCAACAAGAATAACCAAAATACGTTTTCTCCGTTGCAGCGCACAACACGATCCACAAATATATATATATATATATATATATATATATATATATACATATATATACATACATACATACATACCATTGCGGCGTGCAACCCGATCCAAAACAGTAATACCAATATACATTGTAGCATGTAACCCGATCCCACACAATAATACCAATAATCGTTGCAATGAGCAACCATATCCCACACAATGATAATATAAATGGACAACCTCAACCAACTACTACGTTTCTCAAATAAAATGATAAGATAATTAAAGACATAAAGTGGATAAAAGAAGCTATCTAATAACACACAAGGTCATAAAACAAGTAAAAACAGTTAATAAATAAAGACACGAATACATGAAAATAATTAGCAACTTAAGGCACGTAACGGATAAAAAGGCATGAATTTAACAAGTAAGGGCAAGTAACAATTAGAGCATTTAACAAGTAATAACATGGATTAAATGAAAGCATAAAATGATTGAAGACAATAATAAATATCCCATATCCTGTGCTTAACCTGTGACTATGCATATACACTCGTCACCTTGCATATACGTCGTCCCCACACATAAATCAAGTAACAAATAAACCAATCAAGTTCTAATTCCCTCAAGTCAAGGTTAACTATGATGCTTACCTCTTCCCGCAACCAAATCAATGATCAACTACGGCTTTTCCTTTAGAATTAGCCTCCAAACCAATCAAAACTAGCCAAATATAGTTCAAATAATTCACAATAAGCTTTAGAAACTACTTACGAGTGAAAAAGATTCAATCTTTAATGAAATCGAAAAAAGTCAACCCCCGGGCCCGCTTGGTCAAAACCCGAGATTCGAACTAAAGCCCGATTATTCATACACCCCCGAGCACGGTTATGCGATTTATTTCAAAATCCAACCTCAATTTGAGGTCCAAATCTCAATTTTACAAAATTTCTAATTTCTACCCAAAACCCCCAATTTCTACCATGAAATTCATATATTAACATTAAAAATCAATGGGTGATTATCGAAATACATCAAAAAAAGTTAAAAATCACAAACCAATGAAGTTGGGATGAAAATCTCCTCAAAATCCTCTCTAGTCCGAGCTCTAGCTTTCAAAAATGGTGTTGAATAAATCCCGACTTTCAGCTATTAAAATAACTGGACGTCAAGTGTTCTTCGCGTTCGAAGTCTGGCCCAATTTCCTTTGCATTCGCAAACTACATCGCATTCGCGAAGGCTTATTCCCCAGCCTGCTTTCGCGTTCGCGTCCCCAGGTCCGCGTTCGCAATGATGACCCCTGTTATCACCCCAGGTCATCCCCAAAGCTTTGCGTTCGCGAGTGGCCAACCGTGTTCGTGAAAGGTAATGCCCCGTATACTTCGCGTTCGCGACCTACCTCACGCATTCACGAAGATAACCATCCGCAAACCAAAATTTCCCCTTCGCGATCGCGAAGCATTGGACACCAGAAGTAAAAACCAGCAGTTCCAACAAGTTCAAAAATGGCCTGAAACTCACCCGAACCCCTCGAATCTAAACCGAACATGCACACAAGTGTAATAACATCATATAAACTTGCTCGCTACCTCAAATCATTAAAATAACATCAAATAATGAGAATCGATCATCAAAACTCAAGATTTCAACTTGAAAACTCATTTTTACAATCTTTCACATAATGCGCCAAAACACGCTCTGGTCATCCCGGAACCTAACCAAACATGCGTACAAGTCCAAAAATATCATATAAACCTACCGGAATCTTCAAAACACCGATCCAAGGTCGTTTACTAAGAACGTTGACCATGGTCAGCTCAAGTTATTTTTAAAGCCAAAAATCACATTTTTTTTAAAATTCACGTAAAAATTATTCGAAAAATGATACAGACCATGTACGCAAGTCATATAACATCTAATGAAGCTATGATAGGTATCGGAACACAAAAATAAGGGCTAGCATTCAAAATGACGTATCGGATCGTCACATGCTCTTAAAAACCTAGGGGCCCATTAGGGTTGCTTGGAGGCTACTCTACCCGAAACCTTAACTGGGAGGCTACTCCATACGAAACCCTACCTCACATTTATAAAAGGGACATTTTCCCTTTGAAATCGTCTAAATAATTTCATAAACTCATGGAATACTCACAAAAAGATCAAGATGCGGCAGGATACTTCTTGACAATCAAATAGTTCAAGAAGATCCACAACACACTTGCATGGAGATCAAATATATCTTACCTTCGAGAAATATGTTGCTCCAACCCTCGAGTCACAGAGATAATCAAACGAGAAGAATCAAGAGAACAAACAGAATTATACCCACATTGTTTATCAATAAAATTATATTTTTTCATATTTAAATTATGATTGCAGTTTATTTTTTGTATCTCAAAAGTTTATTGCAACCAAAATGGCACGCCTAATGGAACAAGTACTACCCTTCATCTCTTCCTTTGCAAATTGAAGACTAGAAGTTTAAAAATCATATGTTGCGATGGTCGGGTACCTCAAGTCTCGTCTTCAAGTTTGAGCAAGCCTACACCCCCGACAAATTTTGAAGTATGGGGAATTTGTAAACATAAGAATTTTAACAGATCAAGCTCATACTAATTTTGGGCTAAGTCCTAAATTTAAGATACTATAAGACGAGTCCATTACTGCTCTTGAAAACCTAGGGGGCCATTAGGGTTACCTGGAGATTACTCTACCCGATAACCTAACTTGGAGGCTACTCCATCCAAAACCCTACCTCATACCCTATGAAAGCATCTCAAAAATTCCATAATCTCATGGAATACTCATAAAGAGATCAAGATGCGGCCGAATACTTTTTGACAATCAAATAGTTCAAGAAGATCCACAACATCCTTTCACGGAGATCAAATTTGCATCATCCTAGTTCGAGATACACGCTGCTCCAGCCTTTGAAATTATCAGGAGGGAAAAATTAAAGAAATAAATAGAATTTTAGCCAAATTTTTTATCATAAAATTATATATTTTTTATATTTATATTGTGATTGCAGTTTATTTTTCGTATCTGAAACATTTATTACAAACAACAACATAACCACAAATATTCCTATATGAATGCAAAAATGAGAACTTTTGGTTGTATACTTGTAGTTAGAACAAAAAAAATGCATCCTCCAATGGAAGTGTGGGAATAGTCACTTCTCATTTCATTACAGCAGAGGTTATAGTTCCTACACCATCCAATTCCATAACTCTTCATATGATTCTTAAATGTTTCTTTATTGGTTTAAGTGTACTTTATGAAATCCAGGAATTATCTCGAGAGTATATATAATGGGAGGATTTGGATGAGGTGGTGAAATGTATCCCGCACACTGAAAAGGTATTCATAGGAGGAGACTTCAATGGTCACATCGGGACTAAGTCAAGTGGTTATGATGACGTACATTGGGGTTTTGGTTTTGGGAAGTGGAATGTAGGAGGAGTTTCACTTTTGGACTTTGCAAAAGCTTTAATTTGGTGATAGCTAATTCATGTTTTCTGAAGAAGAAAGAACACATGGTTACCTTTCATAGCATAGTGGCTAAGACTCAGATAGGTTACTTGCTCCTTAGGAAGTGTGATATAGGTCAGTGTAAGGACTGCAAAGCTATTCCGAGTGAAAAAATTTACAAACCAACATAAGCTCTTGGTTGTGAACTAAGAGATTAAGATAATGAAAAAGAAGATTGTTTTGTATGACCAACCTAGGATCAAGTGGTGTAGCTT